TCATTAATTGACATAATGTACGAATGTGCCTGAGCTAGTACCTGGCACAGAATAGATGCTTTATCTATGAACTCCCTCCTTTTAGTAGTATTTTAAGCTTAGTTGGTAGAATTAAACTACTTATCTTGAAGTTTGGATTAATATTTTTGAACATGTACTATGTATAAGGATTTATGTCAGGCACTTTACTTGTTATTACGGCTATGCAGAAAGTCAAAGAACTTCTCTTAGAAGTGAAATTCTCCACATCTTTTCAATGACCATCTTTTGGTCTCAGCTGTCAGTGAGACTGGTTCTCTCCATCTGTGGATACAAACTCAGCAGACATTATACTCAGTTTGATAACTCCCAGCACCTAGCAAAGGGTCTCATGAGCAGTGCAGGTTCAATATATGCCTGCTGAATTGAATTAAATTAATCTTACTGAAAATATGAAATGTCAACTTCACTAATAGTGTGGGCTATTTGGGTATAGAGTTTCAATAAAAAGACTACTGCCCATTTGGAAAAACTATAAATATAGAAGTGCCTGAAGATTTTTGCAGGTGTATTCTATTATTTTCTACAGTTTACATTTATTTTATTACAAAAATCCACTGTTTCCTTTCTTTGGGATTAGTGCAAGCCCAAAACAGATTTTCATATTTCAAAAACAAAGCCCATTATAATGTGAGGACTATTAGGCATTAATGAGGCAGGTGGAAACTAAACCACTATCCTGATGGTTAAAAATATTTAATTTCCTTGCCTTTCAAACACATTATTCAGCATGGTCTTCACAATGAGGGAAGTCAATTTATTTCTATGCAACTCTGCAAAATGCTCACACTCTTAGGGAGGCTGCACAACAAAGTGGATGTCAGGATGTCTGTGTGTAATAGTTGGGGAAATGGCTGGAGACAAGAAGTCATGTAAACACTGTCAGCTATAGTTTGAGAACGTAGGGGAAAATAATTCAAAGAACAGAAACCAATCTTAAACAAAGAACTATAAATCTCTGACCTAATTATTTTTTATTTTTAAGTTATCTCTATATCCACTGTGAGGCTCAAATTTACAACCCTGAGATCAAGAGTTGCACGCTCCACTGACTGAGCCAGCCAGGCACCCCTGACTTACTAATTCTACTTCTAAGAATCTATATTACAGAAAAAATCCCCTGTATGGAAAAAAGAAATATGTACACAAATATTTTTAGAGTATTATTTATTTAGAATATCTTTAAAGCAATCCAAATATTGAACCTATAAAAGAATAGTTAAGTAAATTATTGTATGCTTTCTTGATTGAATACTATGCAGACATTAAAAGGAAGATTATGGAGATCATCCAGCAAAATGGAATGTTAGATGGAAAAATATACAAAATTAACATTATTAAGATAAATATATTTTAAAAAAAGAATACTAGGGTGCCTGGGTGGCTCAGCTGGTTAAGCATCTGCCTTCGGCTCAGGTCATGATCCTGGGGTCCTGGGATCGGCCCTTTTTGGGCTCCCTACTCAGTGGGGAACCTGCTTCTCCTTCTCCCTCAGCTCCCCCCCACACCCTGCTCGCTCTCTCTCTCTCAAATAAATGAAAAATAAAATCTTAAACAAAAAAAAAGAATAATAGAAAGAGGATGGAATTACATCAAGTTGCTAACAGTGGCGTTAATAAGAATGGAGCTTTTGGTCATTTTCTTCTCTACTGAACTTTCTAATCTTTTTTGTAATGTAGTTATAAAACTTTTTCTATTCTAAAATCAATACAATTTCAAAATTAGGTTGTAAACTGGGTATGGGCTTTTGAGTAAGAGAAGAAAGGAAAATAAGAGAAGGGAGGAATGATGGACAGAAAGGCTGACTGGGCGACTGGTACCAATCTAACTACAGGCGGTTATGTATAAGCTCTAGTTAACCATCAACTGAATAACTGTATTAGCAGACTGCTCTCCTTTTAGAAAGTGTTGCTATATTCTGTGATTCTTTTTCTCTTTTTCTTCCGAATCCTATATTCTATACCAGAGCATAATACAGAAGGCAAAGAGTTAATATCCAACTAAGTTTAGTTTCTTCCTTATTCTATAAGGTAAATAGACTATGTTTTTAGCACATTTATCTTCTAATAAGGCCCTTTACACTGTTAATGTCCAACACTAGAATTAACCATGTTTTCCAGATGGAAGGGAACTCCAAACTTGATGACTAATGCTTTCGTTGGCACCTACAATGGAATAATTTGGTCCCCAGATGCGTATTTCTGCTGCATGCTCCTAGCTAGCTAGCTGCCAGTGTGAGGAGATACAAACTCCACTAAATTATTTCAGTGCTGTCATTTAAAAGCAGGTTAAATAAATACTGGGACTTCACTAAGCTGTTTTGTGCCTACATCTAAGCCTCTCCTCCTTATCCGTGGGGAATACGTTCCAAGACCCCCTGTGGATGTTTGAAACCACAGTGCCAGACTCTATAATAGACTATGTTTTTTCCTACACATCCATACCTGTGCTACAGTTTAATGTATAAATTAGGCCCAGTAAGAGATAAATAACAACAACTAATAATAAAATATCACAATTACAACAATATACTGTAATAAACGTCACGTGAATGTGAGTCTCTCTCTCTCTCAAAATATCTTATTGTACTATATTCACCCTTCTTGTGATGATGTAAGATGATAAAATGCCTACGTGATGAGATGAAGTGAGGAGAATGATGTAGGCACTGCAGCATTAAGCTACTACTGACCTTCTGACACTAAGTCAGAAGGAGGATCATCTGCTTCCAGATAGCTGCTTCCATGGTTGACCACAGTAACTGAACCCAGGAAAAGTGACACCATGAATAAGAGGGGCACTAGTGTATTGTTAGTAGAGCTTTCACAAAATACATCCTTCAGCTGAACGCAGGATGACACAGGCTCCGTAATACTGACTCGAGGGAAGGAAAGAGTGGGAAGGGATTGTGAAATGCTCCCTTCACAGAGGATATGATGTTCCTAGATGAGCTGACATCTTTGGACAGTTCTCAACACGTACTATCAGAATGCACTACTCATTGACATACTGTACTAGGCATATCTCCTTCGTTTCCTTTCTTCACACGCAGAAGCCCTTCTTTATCTCCTGTTGAAATTCTTCAAGGACTATTCAACTATCATTTCCTTCATGGGGCAAACATCTTTCCTATTTTTCTATTTGGTATTGAGTTTTTTTGAGAGCATTTCACAAAATCATAAAATTTTGGAATTGGAGGGGATCTTAGAATCATTTAACTTAACTTTCTCTCTGAAACCCAGAGAGAAGTGACTTTTTTTCCCAAGGTGTTGATGAGTTAGGAGGAAGCAATTTCAGGTTTGGCACAGAGCAGCCCAGTCATACGCTGCCATGTATCACTAAGATCTATAAAGGTCTGTCTGCTCTACCAGCTATGCTCTTCAAGGAGAGAGATCAAGTCCTGTTCATTTCCAATATGCACAGGATGTAGGCACATACCGAGGGGAAAATGCCTGCCCAGTTGATTTAGTTAGAACAGGTACTAATCCAAGGGAAATCATGTGTCTGATTGATTGCCAACAGTGCCACTGAAGAAGCTGAAAGTAAGTTTGTGCCTCGAATCTCCTGTCATCCTAAATTCTGTAAACAAAATAACCTCAAGTAGATGGGAATTGTGACATTCAAAAGATGCATTAGAAAGAGATATTCCATGATATGGAGCAACTCTGTTGTACTGAAAATGGGGCAAGCTCTTCTAACCCCAAAGTCAAGTGGGTGATGTGTGCCTACTTTCCCTAGCTGGATTACCATTAATAGTGAAATAAAAATAAACTTTCAATAGACTGCTTTTCCTTAAAATGCACACCCACACACAATCTTTTTTAAATGTGCAAGTGTATTCCCATTAGAAAATCAGAATGCTATGTGAAAAAATTGAAAAACTTTCAGGAATGTTCTTAAACTTTAGCCAATTTCTCTAGCAAGGACGCCTTTTATCTGAAGGACACAACCACCGAAGAGGCACTATGGATACAGTAGGAAGTTGAGAGATTAAAGTTTTAGCTTTTAGTTTGCCACTATTCCATCTGTTCGTCCATCCATTCTTTCACTTCGTCCTTCAACAGATATTTATTGAGTACCTACTATGTGCCAGGCACTTGGCTGTGCTGAGCAGTGAATCAGGCAGACATGGAAATTACATTCCAGAGAGGAAGACAGACAAAGAAAACAAAGAAGACAAGTACAGACTGTAATAAATGCCATGAGGAAATAAACAGGATGAGAGAGCGAGTAATGGATGGGGAGGCAGTAGCAGGAACTACTTTGTCTGACCACCTAGAAATCATATATCCACTTAGGTAATAACAGGCAAACCACTGAACTTTTCTGGCATTCAGATCTCCAACATGAAAAACTGAGATGGAACTGGATGACATCAGAGTGGGAAGAGCCCTGGACTTGGAGAAAGAAAACACTGGCTTGAGCTCTGGCCTCGTTTGTCACACCATCCCTGCCCTATGTCTCTGATGAAACATACAGCAAGCAGAGCGCAAAGCCCTTGTGAATCAATCAGGTTAAATAAGCCACAGACTAAAAGTGCTCCTTTCCCTTCTTTGAGACTGTTTATGACTCTTTGCATGTTTGTTTTCATTTGTACTACAGAAGACCTCTGAGCACTTCAGAAACACTAGATTAAAATTATTATTCTGCTACTTCTGGACAAGAAGCATATCTACTTCATGAATGGGATAAGGAGTTTGGTAAAGTGGCATGAATAAACCAACAAGTGATAATATGTTCTTCACTGCACATTAAAAAAAAAAAAAAAAAGCATGACATTTTTCCTTTGCTGCACCAAGTTTAACTCAATTAGTGACAGGCTAAAGAAAAGAAACCAAACTGCTAGCAAAACCATTATTTTTTCTTTTAAATTTTGGCTATTTTCAGGTTTGGCTACACAGTCAGAGAATGGCATCCTTCAATGAAAGTCTGCCCATCACAGCCAAGAAGAGAAACCCTACCGAGTGTAAAGTGCCATTATTGGTCACTGCAGGAAGGCGAGCCCATCGTTCATTTTCCAGTTCTTCCATTACTTGATTCATTGCACTCTTCAGCCACGTGTCCACAGAAACACCGATCTGCTTTAGCAGGTCCAGCCGGGCTTCAGCTTTCAACTTAATTATCTAAGAAAACCAAGAAAATGGTCAGAAATCGTGGATTACTTCATCAAAAACTAATGATGTATTGTATGGTGACTAACATAACATAATAAAAAAATAAAATAAAAACAAATTAAAAAATTAAAAAAATAAATCTTAATTTGAGCCTAAATTAAAAAAAGAAAAAGAAATCAAGGCATTTTTTCCTCAAATCAATGTGTTTTTTTAAAGTTATTTCTGATTTATTAATTAGAATAATCTTGATTATTCTTATTCACTGGCAATGCTACCTTGGCATAGATGTTAATTTTTCACTTGGAGAGAGGGGAGGAAACCCAGGAACAGAAATGAAGGCAAATGGCACACTTGCATTTTGACAAGATACATCAAACAGAACTTACGAATGGGAAGATACACCATAAAGTCTGCATTCTTCGCCTTTTAATAAGGCTATGCCTCAGAACATCCTAAAATCTAGCATGTTCCAGAGCCTTCTAACCCATCTCCCGGACTTACAAGTTCGCAAATGATCTCATCATGTCACTCCCCTGGTTAAAAACTTCCATGACTCCTGACTGAACAACATGGTAAAGATCTGAATTAAATTATGAGGTAGCTGTCAGGAATAGTTAAGAGACAGAAAATAAAAAGTCCCTAGTCTCCAAATTCCAGAAACGGAAAGACTGCTTGTTCTGCGACTCGTGTTCCAAGGCATGAGCAGGTAAGCACAGAAGCAGTCTACACCTGTCCCGATCCAGCAGTGGAGCCTCTGCAAGGCAGCCGGGCAGTGACAGCCTCACTCCAGCCATCACCACCGGTCAGGCTCCCGCCCCTGCTTCCCACAGTCCACCCATCTCTAGATAGCACAGCTGCACCCGTAAGACGTCTGCAGTTTTGAAAATCTGCCAGTCCCTGAAATCCACACTTTCCAAAACCCAATCTATTAGTTTTGTTTGGTCAGAGAGACTGTATTTATAAGTATGATTCTCTTTTGCTCAGCAAGTAGTAAATTCAGCTTCCTTGTTCCACATAATAGAGAGGTGGTCTCTTCCTTCAACATCTGAAGGTTCCACTAAGAAGATTTTGATTATTTGATCAATTTCAACCCTCACTTAATGGCCTTCTGTGGGACTTTACAAGTGTGCTCACTGAATCCTGCTGGAACGCAATTCTGACCACTCTCTGGATTCTCAGCTGCGGGAGTTGGTGTCAAAACTGATCTGAGCTATGCGGGCACCTGGTTGGCTCTGTTGGTAGAGCATGTGACTCTTAATCTCAGGATTGTGGGTTCAAGCCTATGTTGGGTGTGGAGCTTAGAAAAAAATGACCTAAGCTCCGACTCGTTTCACTTGAGCTCTCATTACTAAATTTATTTTGCATTCCTAAGATTTTTAAGCATACAGATTTTTAAAAAATGAGATAAAACTGGCGCGCCTGGGTGGCTTAATTGGTTAAGCGTCTGACTTTGGATTTCGGTTTAGGTCATGATCTCAGGGTTGTGAGACTGAGCCCCACACTGGGTTCCGCATGCAGCGGGGCGGGGGGGGTCTGCTTGAAATTTTCTCCCTCTCCCCTGCTCGCCTGCTCTCTCTCTCAAATAAATATTCTTTTTTTTTTTTTTAAAGATTTTATTTATTTGAGAGAGAGAGAGAATGAAAGACAGAGAGCATGAGAGGGAGGAGGGTCAGAGGGAGAAGCAGACTCCCCGCTGAGCAGGGAGTCCGATGCGGGACTTGATCCCAGGACTCCAGGATCATGACTTGAGCTGAAGGCAGTCGCTTAACCAACTGAGCCACCCAGGTGCCCCTCAAATAAATATTCTAAAAAATGAGATAAAATTCACATTACATAACATTACATAAACTTTGCCATCTTAATCATTTTAAAGTGTACAATTCAGTGGTTTTGGCTATCATACAGATCTTAGAGTTTTTAGCTTGGAGGTACACCATTTGGTAAACAGCCTTGCAAAAATCCGTTTATTCTTCTAGTAACTGTTTTGGTAATAGCTTTACTGAGATACAGCTTACATACACCATAAAATTCACCCATTTAAAGTGTACAGTTCAATGATACAGTATATTCACAGATATGTGCCACCATCACCACAATCAACTTTAGAACATTTTAAGTACCTCCAAAAGAAACCTCATATTCTTTAACCATTGCACCCTTACCCTTTATTCCAATTACTATTCTACTTTCTCTCTATATTAGATTGGCCTATTCTGAACATTTAATATAAACAGAACCATATAATATGTAGCCTTTTGTGTCTGGCTTCTTTCACTTAGCATAATGTTTTCAAGGTTCATCCATGGTGTAACATGTATCACTACTTCCTATTTATGACCAAATAACATCCTATTGTATGGATATACCACACTTTATCCATTTGTCAGCTGACAGACCTTTGAGTTATTTCAATTTTTTGCCTAATATGAATAATGTTCCTTTAAGGATTAGTGTACAGGTTCTTGTGTAAACATGCTTTCATTTCTCTTGGGTATATACTTAGTACTGAAATTGCTTGGTCATAAAATAATGCTATGTTTAACCATTTGGGAAAATGCCAGACTCTTTTCCAAAGTAGCTGCCTCATTTGACAAACCCACCAGCAGGGTAAGAGGGTTAACATTTCTCCACATCCTGAAAAATACTTGTTAAGTCTGCCTTTTTGATTCTAGCCATCCTAGTGGGTGTGAAGTAGTACCTCATTGTAGTATTGGTTTGTATTTCCTTAATGACTAAAGATGTGAAGCATCTTTTCATGTACTTACGGTCATCTGTGTATCTTCTCAGAGAAATGTCTGTCTATTCAGATCCTTTGCTCATTTTTAAAATGGGTTGTCTTTGTATTGTTCTTTTTATTTTGTCTTTGTCTTTATCGTAAGAGTTTTTCTGTATTCTAGATAAAAGTCTCTCACCAGGTACATGATTTGCAGATATGTTTTCCCATCCTGTGGGTTGTCTTTCACTTTCTTGATAGTATCTTTTGAAGCAAGAAAGTTTTTAATTTTGATAAAATCCAATTTATCTATTTTTTTCTTTTGTTGCTTGGGCTTTTGGTTTCATACCTAAGAAATTAATCTAACGTCACAAAGACTTACTCCTATGGTTTCTTGTGAGTGCTTTATAGCTTTTGCTGTTACATTTAGGTGTTTGATCATTTTAAGTTAATTTTTGTATATGGTATGAGGTAGGGGCCCAACTTCATCCTTTTGCATGTAATTATCCAATTGTCTCTGCACCATTCTAGTATGCATTTTGAACTAATAGAGGCAATAAAATGTTTTAGAAAAGAAGGGTGAATGAACAAACTCTTTCTTGGAAATCATAAACGTAAATCATTAACTGCAGAAGCAGAGAAACAAAAAAAAAGGAGAAAGAGTGAGATCAAGGGAGAGAGGGAGTGAGAGAAATATCAATATATTCTATTTTTTCAGTACCAAGTAATTTCATTTTTATAAGATGTATTTTTGTCAGTATTTTACCAAACAACTGATGAACATGGCATTTGCAAACTTAGATTTTTAGATTGCAGCTCCAGAATAATCATAGCTATCTTTCCTTCAGAATTCCAACTGTTTATATTTTATCAACTATTTAAAAGAAGAATTTTCCAGGGTTTTCAAATGAATTGTGATGATTTGCTGGTTGATTAAAATTTGCAAAGCAAAGGTTTCTGTAACTTGATTGCATCCCAGATACTACTTGACCAAATCATTTTAGAATTTGTAAAGAGCTTTTTAAAATGTTTTGAAAGCCAGATCTTTTAGAATACATAATCTTGGTGTATTAACAACATCAATTAACTGATCTTAATATAAAATTTAACATAAGCATATCCAAATACCAAGCCACAGCTGAGCTTATAAAACTTTTTGACAGTTATAACGTCTGTAAATCCAATCTGGGCTTAGTTAATTTACCTTCGAAATACCATTTCTTTAAGGATAAGAACTGTGTCTGTTGCAACCCTACTGTTCAGGACAGTGCCTGGCATACACAGGAATGAATAAAGGCAGATGATAGTATCTGCCACTCTAAATTACCTTTGGTATCTTAAAAAAACCATTCCGAACAACTTTTATCATATGTACTAGGAACTATATGACTATACTATTTCATTTAATCCACACAACAATTCTGGGGATGGATATCATAAACTCCATCTTATAGATGAGTAAAATGATTTAACAAGGTCCTATCAATTTTGGTAAATTGTTATTGCCAATGATTCATGCCTCCTGCTATCCATGTAGTCCCCTCCCACACTGATTCTGGGCCTATCCATGTGATCTGCTTTGACGGACCATAGGCAAATTTGATGCCAGCACAGATTTGATTAAGTACAATTAGGCCTGATTTCTGGGAATATGTCTCCACCATGTAAGGAAGCCTAGTTTAGCGTATCTGAGGATGAAAGACCATTTGGAAAAAAGCCCCAGACCTCTAACAGACCCTCTGGATGAATGTAGTTCCTTGAGTAATCTCAGGAAAAACCTGCAAAAGAAATGCACAGTCAACACCCAGAATGGTGAGAGATAATAAACTGTTTTTGCCATAAAGTTGGGTGTGTGTGTTTTAAGGCAGCCACAGATTATTGTGTTTAAATAATTTAATTTCCAAATATCTGGGGATTTTTCAGCTGTTAATGATTTTTAATTTAATTCTGATGGGTCAGAGAACATACTCTGAGTGACAGCAATAACTGATACCGGTTTACGGTCTAGTATATGGTCTTGCTGAACATTCTGTGTGTACTTTAAGAGAACAAGTACTCTACTCTTATGGGGTGGAGTGTTCTATAGATGCCAATTAGGTAATGCTCGTTGACAGTGCTGTTCAAGTCTTCTGTATCCTTGCTGACTTTCTAGCCCCTTGTTCTAATTACTGAAAGGAATGCTGAAATCTCTGACTACCATTGTAGACTTGCTATTTCTTCTTTTAGTTCTGTCAGGTTTTGCTTCATATATTAGTAGCTCTATTATTAGCTACATACACATCCAGAATTGTGTCTT